TGGCCATTTAATACTGAGATGAGAAGAAAGTTTTTTCAAGAAGCAATAAGTTCTTAAGGCTAAAGGGATGAAAGGATATGTGGAGAAAGCGGGAACAGGAGACTGAGTTGGATGATCAGCCATGATCGTATCGAATGGCGAAGCAGATTTGAAGGGCCGAATGGCCTATTCCTGCTCCCATATTCCTTTTCAATGCTTGTTAAATTGGCTCTTTTTAAAACGTTAACTCATCTGGGTCATAAAGAAAGGAAAAGGGAAAGGACCTTTTTGAAATCCACCTTGTTGCAACCAACTGGTGGATAAAGAACAGAAGAATCTTTATATCCCTCTTCATCCAGGGACTTCACAGTTTGAGGGTATCCCACGTGGTACTGTAGCAAATTGGGGAGCCTCAGCTGGGGTCTGGTCATAACAAGACTTACTCAGAGAGTCTAGACTCCACATTTACCTATGTTAATGTGAACTATGCACACAAACCAACTGACTACACCGAGTGTGTTATACAGAATGACTGAGGAAGGTATCTTTATACTAAAATCTCACGTGTGATGTCATGTAGCTGTCTTAAAGGGACAGGCCTGAAATCTAAATGTGGAATGCATCATTCACACTTATATTGATGATAGTAAAATTGGATGAGAATGTAAAATGAAAAGCTGATTGGATTTTGTCGGCTTATTGTCAATGGAATAAATTTAAATTTTCTCCCAGCGTGTGAGAGAAAGCTTCTAACTTGCTGTCAATCCTGCTCACGAGACTGGTGTTCACACTCAGTGAACTTGAATAGCTGTGGATAGTGTCTGTGGCTCTGTTCGAGAGGTGCTGAGTTCGAGTCCAGGGGCTTGACCATGAAAATCCAGCTGACGCTGTGGTTCAGTGCTGAGGATGGTGCTGTGCTGTCAGAGGTGCTATCACTTAGGTGAGACCTTAAACTGCCTGTTCAAGTGAATGTAAAAGATTCCACGCATTACCTCAAAGAGGATAATGGTGCTGTGGCCAATATTTATTTCACAAACAACATGACAAAATAACAAATGATCAGGTCTTTGCCACACTCTGCGAGAGTTTGCTGGGTGTAAATTATCCGCTTTGCTCCCTACAACACAACAGTGAATACACTTCAACCTAACGCTTACCCTTCAAAGTACTTTATTAGCAGTAAAACACATCCAGTGATCATGAAAAACAGTATACGTTTAACTTTTGATTTGATTTATTTCTTGTTACATGTATCTTGTTATGAAATACAGTGAAAAGTGTTGTCTAGTGTTGCCACTCTACAGCGACATCTTAAAACATCATAAACCAAAACTTAGAATGTAAAGGCAGAAAAATGAAGCAATAAAGAAAGTGGGTGATCTTATAGAAGTTTATAAAATCATGAAGGGCATGGATCGGGTGAATAGCCAAGATCTTTTCCCCAGGGTAGGGGAGCCCAAAACCAGAGGGCATAGGTTTAAGGTGAGAGGGGAAAGATACAAAAGGGATCTAAGGGGCAACTTTCTTACACAGAGGGTGGTGTGTGTATGGAATGAGCTGCCAAAGGAAGTGGTGGGAGGCTGGTACAATTACAACATTTAAGAGGCATCTGGATGGGTACATGAATAGGAAGGGTTTAGAGGGATACGGACCAAATGCTAGCAAATGGGACTAGATTAATTTAAGATATTTAGTCAACATGGACAGGTTGGACCAAAGGGTGTGTTTCCGTGCTGTACAGCTCTATGACTCTGTGACTCTTAAGTGTCCCACTTTACAGTCCTTGTTGTTAAGTGCTCCGTTAAGGACCACGGGCCTGTTGGCAAGGAATGCCTTTTGTATCAGAAGCTCTACCAAAATCTTTTCCTAACCTTTTGACGTTTGAGTGTTTTGTTTTAATTTCTAGATTATTTGCCCAGTACGCTCGGTACGTCCTGACGATGTCACTCTTCAATTTGGATATTTGCAGGAATGACAGAAGCCACACCTTCATCTATTACTGGGATCTCCTGCTGCAGGCCCACTGCAGATATTCCACCATCTCTGTGACATGTAAGTAATGTATGCAGCGTGTACAGTGCTATTTGGTGACTGTGCCTTGGACTGCTGTAGCTAAATTTATGGGTTGTGCTTCTCTCACAGACTCTCTTGATGCTCTGAAATGTTGGGTGCCTACGCCTACTCCCCAGAGGCAGCACTGTCTCTCTAAGCTTCTGTCATTCTGAGCCCCTTGCAACACTATTTTGTAGAGACCACGGAAATGATACAGCACAGAAGGGGGCTGTTTAGCTCATCTTGTCCATGCTGCCCAAAGACACCCAGATCCCATCTTGCTGCACACAGCCCATAAGCCTGCAGCTTAGAACATATAAGGTGCAGATCCAGGTACTTTTTAAAAGAGTTTAGAGTACCTGCCTCTGCTACCAACTCAGGCAGTGAATTCTAGACACCCACCCTCTGTATTTCCTCACGTCCCTTCTAATTGACAGCATAGTTTGTCCCAAACTTAGAGTAGGGCTCGCTCACTCCCTGTATGTACACAATAATATGCTGAATACAGATCTCTGATGCAATATTTCTCTTCTGCTCCTCGTTGAGTCTCAAACATATGTCGGTTCTGCTGCTGCCTGGATAATATCATTATCATTAACTTATTAATGTCACGTTTTACTATGTATGGGTTGACACTGGCTGTTCCACCACAGATCAGTGTGTTTAATTAACAGCTCTCATTCTAAATAGATGGAGATAGTAGGAACCTGCAGATGCTGGAAAATCGGAAGAGGCTTCGCAGTGGGGTTAAAATTGTATCAGAGATAGTAGGAACTGCAGATGCTGGAAAATCAGAAGAGGCTTCACAGTGGGGTTAAAAACCTACTGTGTTCATCCAGTGCTGCACCTTGTTGTCTCTAAATAGATGGAGGTTTGTTTGTCGCTATTAAAGAATAATATTTATATTGGATGAAAATTCTCTGCATACACTCAGACAACATGGAGATGGCATTTTCAGTTACCATTCCCTCTTGCAGACAAACATACTGACGGGCAAGAGTTTTAAAATATCTCTGCAATCCTCTGTGTAAAAAAGCTGCCCCCATTTCTTTTTTAAATCTCTCTCCTCTTGTCTTAAAAATATGCCCTCCTAGACTTGAAATCCATCACCCTCGGGAAAAGACACCTGCCACTAACCCTATCTGTGGCCCCTCGTGATTTTATAAACCTCTATAAGATCACCTTTCAACCTCCTACACTCCAGTGAAAGAAGTCCCAGTCTTTCCAGTCTATTTTTATCTTAAACCCTCCATTCCCAACAACACCCTGGTAAATCTTCTGAACCCTCTCTAACTTAATAATATCTTTCCTATAACAGAGCGACCAGAACTAGACACAGTACCCCAGAAGAGGCTTCACTAATATCCTGTGCAACCTCAGCATAACGTCTGAGGATATACTCAAAGGTCTGAGCAATGAAGGCAAGCGTGCTAAATGCCTTCTTAACTGCCCTGTCTACATGTCACGCACATTTCAAAGAATTATGTACCTAAACCCCTAGGTTCTTCTGTTCTACAACACTATCCAGGTCCCTACCATTAATTATATAAGTCCTGCCCTTGTTTGTTTGAACTAAATGCAATGTATAGAAACTGGGAGCCAGCAGTAGGCCATTCAGCCCTTCCAGGCTGCTCCACCATTCAATATGATCATGGCTGATCATCCAACCTCAGTCCCCGTTCCTACTTTCTTCCTATACTCTTTGAACTCTTTGCACTAAGAACTATATCTAACTCCTTCCTGAAAACATTCAATGTTTTGGCCTCAACCGCTTTCATTTGCAGAAAGTTTCACCGCTCTGTGGGTGAAGAAATTTCTCCTCATCTCAATCCGAAATAGCATACCGCGTATCCTTAGACTGTGACTCCTGGATCTGCAATCCCCAGTCACCGAGAAGTTGAATACGTTAGAGTTGCAGGGATATAAGAGGGAGGAATACACAGATCCTACACAGCCAGAAAGACTAACGAGGGAGTGGTCAAAATTGCAGAGAAAATTAGTGCTTAACACCAAAACAAGAAAAACACAGGTATAAGTTTATAACACAATAGATGGTAGACAGAGACAGTAATTGAAAGGAGAGAAAGATGGAAAACATAGCAGAGGGAAGCAGAGAAACAGATGACAAATGTAATGGAATGGATGCACCCTTTTCCCGAGGGTGACGGATGTCAAGTCTAGGGGGTATCTTATTAAGATGAGAGGAGAGAGATTTAATAAAGACGCGGGGGCAACTTTTTTACACCGAGGATGGTTTGTGTGTGGAATCAACTTCCAGAGGAAGTGGTGGATGTGGGTAGAGTTACAACGTTTGAAAGACATTTGGTTAAGTATACAAATAAAAAATGTCTGGAGGGATATGGAGCAAGTGCAAGCAGGAGTACTAGTTTAGTTTGGGATCATGTTTGGCATGGACTAGTTGGATTGAAGGGTCTGATTCTGTGCTGTATGACTCTAGGACCCTGTATATTGATGGGCTTGTCATTGCCCATGTATCCAAGGCAACTAACACAAATAACAAAATGCAGCACCTCAGCATTCTGTACTTGAGATTCAAGTTCAGTTTCTTTGATGTTAAGAACAAGAACAGAAGTTGCTGGAAAAGGTCTGGCAGCATCTGTGAAGAAAAAATAAGAATTAACGTTTCAGGTCAGGTGACCCTTCCTCAGAACTCCAGATCCGACACATTAACTCTGATTTTTTCTTCACAGATGCTGCCAGACCTGCTGAGCTTTTCCAGCAACTTCTGTTCCTGTTCCTGATTTACAGCATCTGCAGTTCTTTCTGTTTTTCTTGGATCTTAAAGTGTCCTTCAATCTGCCAGAGCTAGCGTTGGCCTTAAGGATGAAGTATTAAACTATTAGAGACATTAAGTACAATGATTAAGTTTAAATCCATCTATTACTGCTCAGAATGTAGCAAACCTTTTCAATTCCCACTGTTATTCCCAGTGATGTTTCCGGTCTTAATGCCTCTCCTTCGGAAGATTAAGTTCCATTTATTTTGGAAGGAAGCCATTGGTTACTTCACAAGTTTGGTCCGTCAAGCCCGAGCGAGGAGGGAAGATTTCAAGGAAGCACAAGTAAGCTGTTAAAATTTTTTGTTGCTGCCCTTCAAGGATTTTCAATATTGTAATTATTCCTTTGCTCTCCCTCCGCACTCTCCGTCTTCATCTGATTGTCTTCTCTCCCACTCCTTCTGCACTCGGGGAAATCATAAGAACATATGAAATAGGAGCAGGAGTAGGCCATCTGGCCCATTGATCCTGCTCCCCCATTCAATAAGATCATGGTTGATCTTTTCATGGACTCAGCTCCACTTACCTGCCCACTCACCATAACCCTTAATTCCTTTACTGTTCAAAAATCTACCTCTCATTCAAACATTCAGCGAGGTAGCCTCAACTACTTCACTGGGCAGGGAATTCCACAGATTCACAACCCTTTGGATGAAGAAGTTCCTCCTCAGCTCAGTCCTAAGTCTGCTTTCCCTTATTTTGAGGCTATGCCCCCTCGTTCTAGTTTCCACCCGCCAGTGGAAACAACCTCCCTGCTTCTATCTTATCTATTCCCAACATTGTTTTATATGTTTCTATAAGGTCCCCTCTCATTCTTCTAAATTTCAATGAGTACGGTCCCAGGCTACTCAATCTCTCCTCATAAGCCAATCATCTTAACTCCAGAATCAAGCTAGTAAACCTCCTCTGCATCCCCTCCAGTGCCAGTACATCTTTTCTCAAGTAAGGAGACCAAAACTGTACACAAATCATTCCTTATCCCCTAACAAAAATAGCTAAGGTGCACACGGAGGTTTGTTAACAATGACGAGAATGACCTACTGTTCAAGTGAAGTCTTGTGTATTTTATCTATCACCAGACAGACACTGAGATATGACTAGTTTCTAAGTGTGCGACAGGTTTGTTCGCAAGGATTTGAAAATATCTCTGCAATTACAAAATGTGCAGAAGTTTCAGCTTCTAGAAGCTTCTGAGCGGTGTCTCTTTTACTTTGCTCAGTGTCCACACCCAGTCACAACCAATCATGTTCCATGAGCGTAGATTAAAAAAAAATTTGCTTTGCCTTCTCTTCAAAACCATTGGATTTTATCTCCCTAGAAATGTGGCAGTTTTCTTCAGTACCTGTTAGACCATGAGGAAACCAAGATGGACAAAGGAAAGAAATCACGACCGACCTCTGGTAAGTAACCAGTTTATGAACTTTTCTTTAATATTCATTCACAGGATGAGGATGTCGCTGGCCAGGCCAGCATTTATTGCCCATCCCTAATTGCCCAGAGGGCAGTTGAGAGTCAACCACTTTGCTGTAGGTCTGGAGTCACATGTAGGCCAGACCGGGTAAGGATGGCAGTTTCCTTCCCTAAAGGACATTAAGTGAAACAGATGGGTTTTCCCCCCAGCAATCGACAATTGGTTTCATGCGCATCATCAGACTCTTAATTCCAGATTATTATTGAATTCAAATTCCACCATCTGCCATGGCAGGATTCGAACCTGGGTCCCCAGAGCAGTACCTGGGCCCCTGGATTATTATTAAATTATATTTCCCAAAACCCTGATTATCCACCCATTATCACGTTGCTGTTTGAGGGAGCTTGCTGTGCACAAATTAGGCTTCGTACCATCTGAATCACCTTCTCAATTGTCAAGCGCCTTAGGAGTATTCTGGGGATGCGCATGGTGCTATATCAATGCAATTTCCTTCCTTCTCTCCTGCCTTGCATCCATTTTGTTTTCCTCAGCGACGTTGACTGAAGAAGAAGTTGTGGCCCAGACCTTAGGCTTTCTCCTCCGTGCCTACCAGGCGACAACCCACACACTGGAGTTTGCAGCGTATTTGTTGGCCAAGCACCCCAGCATCCAACACCAACTTCAGCAGGAGATCCGCACGGCCATCAAACAACAGGTACGCCTCCCCCACGCCGAGAAAACCCAGCACAAAACAACCACATGTCAAAACTGATGCAATCACCAATCACAGGCACAAAATAGGAGCTCGATGCAGACCATTCGGCACTTTGAGTCTGCTTGCCCATTCTCTAAGATCACGTTGTTCCTGATTGTAGCCTGAACCCCACTTTCATGATCGCTCCCTTGGGCAGCACAGTGGCTCAGTGGTTAGCACTGCTGCCTCACAGCACCAGGGACCTGGGTTCGATCCCACCCTCAGGCGACTGTCTGTGTGGAGTTTGCACGTTCTCCCCGTGTCTGTGTGGGTTTCCTCCGGGTGCTCCGGTTTCCTCCCACAGTCCAAAGATGTGCAGGTTAGAGTGAATCGGCCATGCTAAATTGCCCCGTAGTGTTCAGGGATGTGCAGGCTAGGTGGGTTAGCCATGGGAAATATGACATTGACAGGGATAGGGTGGGATGCTCTGTAGAGGGATGGTGCAGACTTGATGGGCCCAATGGCCTCTTTCTACATTGTAGGGATTCTACGATAATATGTAGTGGACAGGCTAAACAGAAGTGAGTGGGACTTCTGAATAAGATTGGGAGCCAGCTTTGGACAAGAGGTAAACTTGATAGAGTTTGTTCTGAGCCTCGTCCATCAGTGGAGACTTGAAATGGCCAACAGAGAAAGAGAGTGCACTTGGCAGCCATATATTGTAGTGGGGAATTCCAAACGTGTCTCTATAGAGGAACACTCTCAATGGAGAGCAATTGTCATCCATTGAAGCAGTAATACAAGAAAAGTCTCTGCCCTGCGCCACCAATTCAGTGGAGATTTCTCTTGAAGCTTCCGTTAAGATTTTACTCTGAAAAAAAAAACCCAGGAAGATTTGTATCTTCCCTACCTCAGTTAGGGGAAACCATGAGGCAAAAGGTTCAGGCATAAAGAAACTGGTACAAAGGCTTGGATTAAGTCATTATCCCTTTTCCCAAATGGACTCCCTGGCATTATTAAAACAGGGAATTATCTTAACTTGTACTTGTTGTTCCCAATCCTTGATCTGCCATCAAATCATCATACGGTGTTAATGCGCCCTTTCTCATATCTGGGCTGGGTAAATTATTTCATTGTTTTGTTGATAAATCTCTCAATGTTTCGGTGCACCCCTGACTTTACTTTCCATTTTGTGAGGGTGTCACTTACGAAAGCATCGCAGGAATGGAATACCTCGACATGGTCGTCATGGAAACACTGCGGTTGTTCCCTCCTCTGGTTTGGCTGCAGAGAACCTGTCCAAAGCCAGTGGAGGTATGCGATCTGAGAATTTCCAGAGGAATCCAGGTCACAGTACCTGTCTGGGTGATGCATCACAGCAGGGAATTTTGGAACCATCCATGCAGATTTGACCCACTGAGGTAACTAGGGGCGATCGACTGCCATCTTGTTTATAACCAGTTGGCGATACCACTTGCTTCATCCATTACTGTTTGGGAAACACAGAGTGGCAGAAGCGTCAACACCTTTCTTTGTGAGTAGCTTTTTAACTGTTTGCTAGAATATTTCATCAAGTTCCCATTCGCCTCTTAAATTGCCGCCATGTCTAAAGCCTCAGCCCCATCCCACGAACTGGGTCCATCAAAATACAAAAAACCATGGATCATAAGGACATGGGAAATAGCTATGGGAATAGGCCATTTGGCCCATTGAGTTTGCTGTTGCAAATGATAGGGGGTGGTCAGCTCAGCTTCCTGGATGGCTGTGTAGTGATTGGAACCAGGTGGATCCATTGACAGTGAGATCCATGATTGAGGTTGTTAACCTGGGCCGATCAGGATGCACTGGCTGACCAATATTAACAGGAGATTTGGGAATCTCCTCAGTTCAGGGGACTGACTCCGAGCTGGCTGCCCACAGCCAGTGTACTTTGCACAAGGAAATAAAGGGTGACTTAGTGACAGGATACCGGCCTCTGTGCAGTTATTTCAGTGGTGAAGAGAGTGGAATAACTAATAAAGAGCTCTTGGAGAACTTAGAAATAGCACTTAAATGTTTCTCTCAGATGGGCATATGCCTTAGAAGGGAAAAATGTGTGTTCCAGGTGCCCCAAGTGACTTCCTTGGGTTACCGAGTCGACAAAACCATGTTACACCCGTTGGAAGATAAACTGAGGGCAATCAAAGGAGCCCCAGCTCCCATGTCTGTACTGGGGCTTAGGTGTTTCCTCGGGATGGTAAATTATTGCAGAAAAGTCATACCATAATCTGGCCTCCATCTGGGCACCCTTACTTCAGCTATTGAAAAAGGGTGAGCCTTGGAAATGGTTCTGTAGCCAAGAAGTAGCCTTTAGGGAAGTGAAAAAGCAGCTACTGTCATCAAGGGTGTTGGCCCACTATGATCTGAAGCAAGAGGCGGTGCTGACATGCAATATCTCCCCGTATGGTAGGGGGGTGGTGTTGGCTCACCGGCGGCCCAATGGAAAGGAATGCCTAATAGTGTATGCTTCCTGGACTTTGGCTGATGCCGAATGCAGATATGCCCAGGTACAGACGGAAGCTTTGACAGTCATCTTTGGTGTGAGGAAGTTCCACCAGTACCTTTACAGACGGAAATTTGTCATAGTAACAGATCACAAACCCGTACTAGGGCTAATGAAGGAAGACAAGGCAGTGCCGTCCATAGCTTCCGGTAGGATTCAGCATTGGGCCCTTTTTTCTCAGTGCGTACAAATACAAACTAGAGCACCGTCCAGGCAGCCAAGTGGCTAATGCAGATGCCTTGAGCTGCCTCCTACTGGCAGATCCTCCACCGACAGAGCCTCTCCTGGAAGAGTCTATTCTGGTTTTAAACTTCCTAGACACCCTTCCGGTCACCGCTGACAATATCCGACTGTGGACACAAAAAGATCCTGTCCTAGCGAAACTGAAACAGCTGGTGGTAATGGGGGAAACAGAAGGACCATCACAACAGGGATTGAAACCTTTCTGGATCAGGCGAGACCAGATCACCGTAGAGGATGGTATATTACTGTGGGAAGCAAGGGTGATTGTCCCAAGTAAAGGTCACCGCCAGATACTGGCCAAACTCAACCAGGGTCATCCAGGGTTTTCTAAGCTGAAGATGCTGGTAAGAAGCTATGCCTGGTGGCCAGGGCTGGATGCCAACAGAGCTGCATTGGTGGGGTGGTGCCCAAAGTTGCCAACAAGGACAAAAATTGACACCAGCAGCACCCCCACATTCATGGAAATGGCTGGGTAAATCCTGGACTCATTGTGGACACCCAGTTAAAGTGGTTGGATGTGCATTAAGTCTGTTTGGCAAGCTCAATGATGACAATTAAGAAGCTGCGAGCATCTTTCGCAATACACTTGACTCCTGGAAATATTGGTCATGGACAATGGGACGTCATTTACCAGCAGGGAATTTGAATTTTTCCTAAAGTCCAATAGGATTTGCCACATAAGGACAGCTCCATACCATCCATCGTCCAATGGTCTGGTGGAAACAGTAGTCCAAACATTGAAGGAAAGCTTAAAGAAGCAGCCTACAGCATCAGAGATAGTAGGAACTGCAGATGCTGGAGAATCCGAGACAACAAGGTGCAGAGCTGGATGAACACAGCAGGCCAAGCAGCATCATAGGAGGTCTAGGCCCGAAACGTCAGCCTTTCTGCTCCTATGATGCTGCTTGGCCTGCTGTGTTCATCCAGCCTACAGCATCACTTGGTACCAAACTGTCCTGGTTCCTGTTCGATTCTAGGATCGCCCCACACGCAACTACAGGGATAGCTCCAGCAGAGTTGCAGATGGGGAGAAGACTCTGCATCAGGTTGAACTGGATATTTCCAGACCTGGAGAGGGGAGGGTGAAATGACATCAGGAATTCCAATGCCGGCCACATGCTTCCTTTAAGCATGAGAGACAATTTAATTCGGGGAAATGAAGTCTTGTGCTGGAACCATGGAAATGGCCCTGAATGGGTATGAGGTGAGGTTGATGTGAGGTCAGGTCTCATCACTTACAAATTTCGGGTAGGTGAGGTAGTCTTGAAAAAATACGTGGATCACCTGAAAACGGGGCAGGAGCAAAACATACTTTGCCCCTCAGAACAGCCAGAAAGCCTGTCAGAAACCATAGGTTCCCCCCCTCCATCTAGGGTCAAGGAAACCTCAGAGACCAAGAAGGATGCTGC